AGGAAACTGGAATCAAGAACCAAAGCTAGAGACTGAGGATTGAACCCACACACTCCATTGTGGGAAGTGGATGTCCTAACCAGCTTCTTAACCACTAGGCCAAATGCTTGCTCCTTCACAAGCTTTCTGAACCAGCCTTGTAACATCAAAGTTCCCCAAGTAGAAAAGTGATTAAATAAATGATGCAGCTATTTTTGGAGCTTTTTGAAGAACACTTAATGACAGGAAAAAAAGCTTATGATCTAACAAAAGAAACTAGAATACATTATTTCCTATCAAATTTTATATATAACCATGGAAAAAATGGTAGTTTCTGGTAATACTAAGTTGTAGTAAAGTCACGTAGGAGCTTTGCATCAACTGTTTTCTTTCCTTGTGGTGTTTTCCCACCTTCTGAGCCTAATCCCTAACTGCAGTCATACTTCAGGTCTCACACAGCTTGGATGTTAATTCCTCACAAGTACATTAGGACATAGGGTCTTATGATCTCCACTTTTTTTTTTTTTAAGATTTATTTATATTTATTTGAAAGGCAAAATTACAGAGAGAGAGACAGAGAGAGATCTTCCATTTGCTGGTTCACTCCCCAAAGGCAGCATTAGCCATGGCTGGGCCAGGCTGAAGCCAGGAGCTTCATTTGGATCTTCCATGTATGTACAAGGGTGCAAGCACTGGAGCCATCTTCCACTGCTTTCCCAGGCACATTAGCAGGGAGCTGGATTAGAAGTGGAGTAGTTGGGGCATGAACTGGCCCTATATTGATGCCAGCATCACAAGTGGTGGCTCTGCCCACTACACCACATTGTTGGCTCCAACCTTCACTCTTCATTCATAGGACTTGTCAGTACTTACTTATGTAATTATTTTTTGAACGTCAGCATTCTTTCCTAATGTAGTCTGTCAGAGAAGGGCCTGTGTTGACTTTGTTCATCACTTTATCCCCAGCACCTTCTATAGCATCTAATTGAATAAACAACATCAATGACAATCAAAGTGTGTTCTGAGCAATGCCTTACAAGGGGAAGGACTGAGGGAAATGTCAACTGATTGCCCACTCCCAGGTCCTCTCATATTTGGTTCAAGCATTAGGTTTAGGCATTCCTGTAAAAGGAATGCCAATGCTTTAGGAAAAGGCACAAAATTTGGAATTTGTGAATCTTGAAGCCTTTTCCATCTTGAATATTCTGTGATACTAGATGAAAATAACAAAGGCCACATAGGAGGGATGCTGCATTTACCAGCAGGGTGGCCACTGGTGCCCTTTGCCAGGAGCAGTGAAGCTGGTGGCTTCCTCTCTTAATTGAGGATTTCAGAGGTTCTTTTCCTTTCCTATTAATCTAGGTTCTACCCCCAAACCTCATTTTCTCTACGTGGCTACCCTCTTAACCATCACTGAGCTGCTCTTTCCCCTCTTCCCTTCAGGGTTTATCCCCAAGACCCTGCAGTCCAGCCACCTGGGATTATTGTAGTTCTTTCATTTCCACACTCATTCATGCAGTTTCCTCTGCTAAGAATGGTCTTTTTTTCCTCAGCTATGTTATACCTCAAATGGTAACCCCTGTAAAAAAGCCCTCCCCACGCTGTGGCATGGAAGAGTAAATCTCCATCTGCAGTGCCTCCATCACATACGGGTGCTGGCTCGAGTCCCAGCTGCTCCACTTCTGATCCAGCTCCCTGCTAATGTGCCTGGGAAAGCAGCAGAACATGGCCCAAGTTTTTGCACCCCTGGGGGAGACCCAGAAAAGGCTCCTGGCTTTGGCCTGCCAGTAGATGGAAGATCTCTCTCTCTCTCTCCTTCTATTTCTGCCTTTCAAATAAATAAATAAATCTTAAAAAAAAAAAAAGCCTTTCCCAAGTCCTCCCTTGATCCATAATACTTACAGTTATGTGCTGCATAATGATGTTTGGCAAGGTTGGGGAGCACACATAATGAGGGTCCCATAAGATTATAATACAGCCTAGGTGTGCAGTAGGCTGCTATCTGTGTAAGTACATTCTATGATGCTTGCACAATGCCAAAAGCACATAACACATCTCTCAAATGTGTCCCACATGTCTGTGTGAGGATACTTAGTAAGTTGTGGAAAATTGAATTAAATGAGAAATTTATTTTGGTGAAAAAATTGTTGAAATCTATGCATATCAGGTCTCCAGAAAGTTCATAGAAAATACATACCATGAAAAAAATCTATGCATAGATTAAAAAACCACTTATCTTTAAATTCCATTTTCCTAGATTTTTTTTTTATTTTTTATTTTTATTTACTTATTTGGAAAGGCATGGTTAGAGAGAGAGAGAGAGAGAGATTGATTTAGAGCTGTCTTCTATCCATTGGTTCACTCCCCAAATGTCTATACCTGCTGGGGCTGGGCCAGGAGGATGACAGGAGCCTGGAACTCCATCCATGTGGGTGGCAGGGGTCCAAGCACTTGAGCCATCTTCTGCTGCTTTCCCAGGCACATTAGTAAGGAGCTGGATTGGAAGCAGAGCAGCAGGGACTCAAACTGTCACTCATTTTGGATGCTGGCATTGCAAGCAGCAGCTTAACCGGCTATGCCAAAACACCACTCCTGAGACTTTATGAAATAAACTATGTGTATGTGGAATCTTCTACAGGTCAAACTTGGGGAAGTTACCTTGCCCATTTTCTCAGCAGAAACATGTGAATACTGTCATAGGTTGAGTTCCCTGGGAAGCAGACTTCTACATGATCAGTGTGCAGAAAATGTATTTTATTTAACATTTTTTTAAGATTTATTTATTTGAAAGGCAGAGTTATAAAGGAGACAGATCTTCCATCCTGCTGGTTCACTCCTCAAATGGCTGCAATGGCCAGGGCTGGGTCAGGCCAAAGCCAGGCATCAGGAGCTTCATCCAGGTCCCTTACACGGACCCAAGGATTTGAGCCATCTTCCACTGCTTTCCCAGGTGCATTAACAGGGAGCTTGATCAGAAGTGGAACAGCTGGGACTTGAACCAGTTCCCATTTGGGATACTGACACTGCAGGTAGAAGCTTAACCTTGTATGCAACAGCAGCGCAGAAAATTAGTGAATGCTCTTTGGGTCGTCACTTTTGGGAGGGAAAAGCAGCAGCAAACCTGGACAGAGGGGAAGTTGAGCTGCAATGAAGTCTCAGTGGAGTGTGTCAGCTGATCCTGCAAACTGCCTTTGTAAATGAGATGACCCATCAGAACTGTCCCACGTGAAAGGGCTGCCAGCTGATGGCTGGCTGTGGAACACCTTCCTAGCAGCAGATAGTTCATTCCTGAAAAGGGATCTGAGAAGTACCTCTTACGGAGCACAAGCAGCATCTGTTTCATGGGCTAGTTGGAAGACTAAAATATGGTAACATATAAAAAGTACAATGCCATGTTGTCTGGAACACAGAACTCAAGAAGACAATAGTTGTTATGGTTATTATGAATAGACTTGGGCTAAGCCTGCACAGCAAAGTTGAGAAACTTTGTTGTGTTTGTTTTTGTATGCTTTGTCCTGGGATAGGGCCTGGCACTAAGTAGGTTCAATAGAAGCTTGTTGATGTGTTTATCAATATGAAAATTATATCACTGTTTACCTTAAAGCAAATATTGAGTTGAACTAGAAAGGAAAACAAATACAAAAAAGCCATTTCAGCTGTTTAATAACTTTTATTAGCAACATAAAAGGCACATGTATCATTTGCTTGGGAAAACAATGTTCCAGATAGGAAAACAAAAACAATGAAGCTGCACTTAACTGTAGAAAAGTCTCATGAATGGGTTCTACTACTAAATTTGGTACTTTTTGGAACATAGTATTTTAATCATAGACAGGGAAGGAGGTTTAATTCATCTTTTCCACAGCTTATAAATGGTGAGGTGGCACTTCAACCCAGAGGAAGTGTTCCTCTCAATCGTGTTGGACTTCAGTGTCCTGCATGCTCAACAGAGTGAAAGGAAGGTATGTTTCTGTTTATGTATTCATTGCAGGGGCAGAGAGACAGATGGAGCTACCACCTGCTGGTTCACCCCCCAAGGCCAAGAGCTCGATGCTGGTCTCCTACGTGGGTGGCAGAGACCTCAGTATTTTTGAGTTACAGTCTTGTTTCTCATGGCTGACTTTAGAACCTAGGCATTCCCATATGTGTTGTCAGTGTCTTAACCTCTAGGCCAAACACCTGACCCTGAAGGTAGGCTCTGATAGAGTATTTACTGCGCATGGCTTTGTGCCAGACACGGTTCTGGGGATACAGCAAAGAGCAAAAGTTATCAAGTCTCTGTCTTTAAAATATATTACAGTTTTGGTGAGGGAGACACCCACTGATGAATAGCGTTTGAAAGTGGTAACTGTCATGAAAGGTAAAAGGAGTGATTGCAGTGGTGTAGGTGCGCTCTTCTGGACAGAGTGGTCTGGACGGCCCTCTGATGCTGATCTTTGGGTAGGGTCCTGAAATATGCATTGAACATGGGTGAGTGAAAAAGAAACCTGGGAAAAGTGTTCTAGCCAGAGAGCAGCCAGCGCAAGGGCCTGAAGCGGTTGGCGCTTGCGTGTTGCAGGAACAGCTGGATAGAGGTGAGCGAGGGGGCGGGCGGATCGGCGGGAGATGAGGTAGGCAGGAGCCTATGCCATAAATACACATGTATGGCTATTTTCCCGGCCTGAGACCACACAGCTAAGGGAAGCAGGCTTGACAAACCTCTCAAGGGGCCACAAAGGGCAGGGTGAAGTGGCCACCCAGCAGTGAAGCTACGAGGTTGCCGCTCCTCCAGGGCTAGGGCCGAGTCAGGCTGCCGCAGGGGATGGACTGGGTCCTGCCCTCGCCCACAGGCGGGGGCGGGCCGCAGGGCCGCGCCTCGGCGGCCCCCAGTCCGAGGGCGCTGCACGGGCCACGGTTGCCAGCAGGCGGTGTAGTGAGCGCGCCTGCAGCAGCCGCCGCCGCCGCCCGCCAGTCCCAACGAGGAGGAGAAAGGAGGGGACCGGAAGGAGCCGCTGGTGCTGCGGGAAGTGGCAGGAACGGGAGGCGGGGACCCACCTGGAAGCGCCGCGGCGCCGCTGTCGAGCTTCCTGCAGCGGCGGCCACTCGAGCAAGTGCCGTGGCGGGGGCGGAGAGCGGCCACGGCGGCGGCGCCTCCCCGACTGTCCCGCGGCGCTCGGCCCCACGCGAAAGGTGAGCAGGCGCTCGGGGCACGTGGCGGGGGCCAGACGCGGTGGGGGGAGAACGACGGGGGAGGGGGGTCGGGGGCAACGCTGGGCTCTGGGACCCGGATTTGGAGAAGTGCCGGGAGGGGGTGGGCTGGAGACGACGGCGGCGACGGCGAAGCCCCCACGTGGGGCGGGGGTGCGCGCGCACGTGTGCGCGGGCCAAGGGGGGCGGGGAGGGCTCTGGGGAGGGCGGCGCGCGCGGGCTCGCTCGGGAGCGGCCCACGTGATGGGCACGCCGAAAATCCGGTTCCACGTGACAGGCGGGGAGGGTGGCCGAGGCGGAGGGATGCGCTGTGTCAGTGTAGTATAACCGTGGCCAACTGAGATTTTACGATCGCTTACTGTTTTTCTTCTCTACTAGCGGAATAGAAGGGGTCATGTAAGGCTAGGAAGACTTCCCTCCCGTGTTTTACACGTTCTCCAGTCCGTTAGTGAAACCCTTTTGAAAAAGTTCCGAAATACTGATTTTTCCGTACCGCCATGTTGGGTCTGGGAGAAGCTCGCGAGATGCTAGTGGTTGTGTATCGCGAGATCTTTCGATTCTCGCGGGACCTTGTTGGCAGAGCAGTTGTCCTGGATGGCGGAGCCTTGGGTTCCGGGGGCCTGAGACCCGCAACTCTTTCTACAAGGCAAGTTGTTAGGGAGGGGCCGAGGGCGAGTGCCTCTTGGTGCCGGGAGACGTGCTGTGTCAGCTTCCCCTAATCTTGAAGAGAGAAACAGTGACCCCATTGAGGCGACACAGTCCTCCCTACCCCCTACGGGCGCTCGGCCACCTGCAGCAGCGTGTGCCCCCCTCAGCCCGAGCTACTTGGAGCCGGAGCAGTTGCTAGTTCCACCCCCGTCCCAGTCACTGCGAGTCCGCAGCCTGCTTGCGCAGCCGTGATGATTCCATTGGATACCATTCCTCTTACTTGGAAGCGTTCTTCCCAGTTTCCCCCTTGTTGCCATTTTCTGAAGTGTAGCAAACCTTTTAACCGTTCTGTCGCCTTTTCGGCTGCAGTGCCGTTCTCCAGTCGCCTAAAGCAGGACGTCTTTCGTGCCTCGGGTCTCTGAGCGCCGTGTACTCCCGTTCGGTCATTGATAACTTCCTCGTCACGCTTTGTATTTATAGTAACTTTTGGTGGCTTGGGGAGAGTCCCCATCTGTCTCTGACAGTATCTCAGGTCAGAATAAAATCTTGTAATTACTCTGTACTTGCCTATGAACTCACAAAGATCAGTAGACGTTGTTACTGTGTTACTGGGTTTGTCATCTTTGATGTCTGGAGATGGTTATTTTGGGCTACATTCTTAGCCTAAGGTGATAGTGGATTGTTTCGAAGTTTTACTTCAAAACAAACTTCTCATAAACTTGGGTAACAAAGTTGCGAGTCTGAATAAAGTTACTTTTGCACTAATTTTCTAATGCCCCCTCAAAAAGGAATCAACAGTCTACCTTTGTGGGTTTTTTTTTTTTTTTTGAGCAAGGTTTGGCTTTTATTTAGTATTCAGAAGGAGGAGTTAATTACAAAACGACTCAAGTAACTAGGTGATTCACTCATAGTTTGTTATTTTAGACTGCTGAGTATTGTTTGCCTGTACACTTAGAGGTATATAGAGTGAAACCTTCCCTGTTAAACTCTCCCCATTAAGTTCCCTTCTTCAATGAAGTCTCTGCCCATACGAAGCCAGTCTGCAGTTGCTGTATGTTATTCCAGAAATATTCCATGTTTGTTTGTTTTTAATGAAGAGTAGTAAGTGAATGGGGTGTTGGATACTTCCACAACATTTACCAATTTGTTCACTTACATTTCTGTTCGGTAGTGATTACCTGTTGGTAGGGCTTCTGTATGCATACTTGAGATTTTGTGTTTGTACAGATTTTTTTTAAGGTGTTAAAAGTCCTGTGAAAATAGCTTGAGTTATCCCTGTTATTAGTGATGATAAACTATCTCAATATTATTTTTCCTATCGAGATGATTAAGTGTGCCTGTAGCTTTGCATGGTCCATGTAAAAGATTTTAAAAAAGGTTTTATTTTTGTTTTGCATTTATTATATATTGACTTTCGTGTAGTACCTATACATTTTAAGAAAGATTTATTTTATTTAATTGAAAGACAGAGAGAGAGGTCTTCCATCTGCTTTGGTCACTCCCCAAATGGCTGCAACAGCCAGAGCTGAGCCGATCTGAAGCCAGAAGCCAGGAGCCTCCTTGCAGTGCAGGGGCCCAAGCACCAAGCACTTGGGCTATCCTCTGCGGTTTTACCAGGTGCTTTAGCAGGGAGTTGGATCAAAAGTGGAACAGCACAGTTGGAACTGGTGCTCATATGCGATGCTGAGGCTTTAACCTGATGCAACTAAGTGCTGGACCCCAGTACCTAAACATTCTAAAACAACTCACTTACGTCTGAAGGAATTTTCTCTTTTCTTTTCTTTTCTTTTCTTTTCTTTTCTTTTCTTTTCTTTTCTTTTCTTTTCTTTTCTTTTCTTTTCTGTGCAGGAATCCCTTGTGGGTGCCTATTTGAGTCCTGGTTGCTCTACTTCTGATACAGCTCTCTGCTATGGCCTGGGAAAGCAGTAGATGATGGCCTAAGTGCTTGGGCCCCTGCACCTGTGTGGGAGACCCGGCAGTAGCTCCTGGCTCCTGGCTTCGGATCTGCGCAGCTCCAGCCTTTGTAGCCATTTGGGGAGTGAACCAGTGGATGGAAGACCTCTCTCTCTCTCTCTCTCTCTCTCTCTTTCTCTCTTTCTGCCTCTCTGTAACTCTGCCTTTCAAATAAAGAAGTAAATAAATCTTAAAAAAAAAAACAAAAAACAAAGTTTGGCAACTCAGAGTACTTGTTTCTTTTTTCTTTATTTTTTTGACAGGCAGAGTGGATAGTGTGAGAGAGAGACAGAGAGAAAGGTCTTCCTTTTGCTGTTGGTTCACCCTCCAATGGCTGTTGCTGCTGGCGCGCCGCGCTGATCCGAAACCAGGAGCCAGGTGCTTCTCCTGGTCTCCCATGGGAGTGCAGGGCCCAAGCACTTGGGCCATCCTCCACTGCACTCCCAGGCCATAGCAGAGAGCTGGCCTGGAAGAGGGGCAACCGGGACAGAATCTGGCACCCCGACCGGGACTATAACCTGGTGTGCTGGCGCAGCAAGGCGGAGGATTAGCCTAGTGAGCCACGGTGCCGGCCAAGAGTACTTGTTTCTGATCCTGCCATTTAGTGCACCCAAATGGAGAGTGGCCTGTATCAGTAATAGTTACTACAAACAAATTTAAATAATACTTACAAAAAAAGTTGCTAAGCAGCTATCATTCTGTGATTTATGTGTATGCTTTAGTATTTCCCCCCCAAACCTACCAGCAGTATTATTAGATTTGTGACATGAAAAAGTGTCCCATCTTTAAGCTTTTTTTTAATTGTAATAATAGTACAAGTAGGAGTGTTGAAGAATAGAAATGAGTGTTGAAGAAAGGCATCAGAGTGTACAGATTGATATTGAAATGGAATTGAAGAAGTTGTGGAGGAAAAGGGAATTTAGAAGATTGGCAGTAAGAGCCATGGTCCAAGCTGGAGGGCAGTTTGAGGAGACCACAATGTGGAGTCAGAATTTGAGGCAATTTTTTTCCTCTTAAATAAATTTTTTACATAGTTCTGTAGTACCTCCTTGAAATTGCTAGCTTGTCATAAAAGTCAGCAACTTGTTGAAGTTTAATTATAACTTTGTGAGTTCTTCACTTGGGTAAAGCCTTCCTCTTAACATTTTAAAGTACAATTTTATTAGTTTTAGAAGTAGGCAATTGAGGCCAGGGCTGTGGGGCAGCAGGTTAACGCCCTGGCCTTCAGTGCAGACATCCCATTTGGGCGCCAGTGGAGACCCGGCTGCTCCACTTCTGATCCAGCTCTCTGCTGTGGCCTGGGAAAACAGTGGAAGATGGCCCAAGTCCTTGGCCCCCTGCACCCGTGTGGGATACCCGGAAGAAGCTCCTGGCTCCTGGCTTTGGATCAGCACAGCTGCGGCCAATTGGGGAGTGAACCATCGGATGGAAGACCTCTCTGCCTCTCTGTAACTCTTTCAAATAAATAAATAAATCTTAAAAAAAAAAAAAAAAGAAGTAGGAAATTGTGAAAATTGTGGTTTGAAGGTCACAATTCTGCAGTGGCCTTTGCAAAGGTAATCTATGTAAGTTTAGCTTGGTAATTGTGCTTCTGAACCACAAAATAATAAATGAAACTCTTGGAACTTAAAAACTGTTTTTGGTAATACATCTTGGGAATTACCGTTGTTTTACAGACACTAAATCATTTGAAATTCTTGGTAGAAATACAATGGGGAAATCCAGGGAAGAGGAAAAATGTATTTTACATGGTTTGAGTTTCTTTGAGTAAAATTTAAGTAACAAATTTTGTTGTCCTTTTTATTATTGTCACAGAAGTGATGAGAGCTGATGAACTTCAGTATTCAGAGGAAGTTAGTTACAGTGATAATATACAGGTTGAATATCCATTATCCAAAATCCCAGGGACCAGAACTGTTTTAGATTTTTTAAAGTTTTGAGGATGTGTTTATATACATAATGACATATCCTGGGGATGACACACCAAGGGTCTAAACATGGAATTCTTTGTTTCATATACACCTTATTCACATGTGTAAAGTTAATTTTTTTACAGTTTATTTTTAGTATGCCTGTGTCTTAAGTCAAGTGTGTAATTTTGCACTTGTGTTGTCACTCTCAGTGCTGTAAAAGTTTTGGATTTTGGATTTTTTGGATTAGAGATGCTCAATTTGTAATGATTTGTCCTCACTTTTTTTTTTCCTTAAGGTCTGACACCATGCTAATTTTTACATACCTGTAACTTTGTAAGCTGTATGTACTACACTGCAATACCTATTAGATATTAATTATATCAAGAGTGTAAGATTTATTTCGTATCAGTGTCTAAGATTGTAGTAAACTTCTTGACCAGAAATATCAAAGAAAGTATGTTGCAGGAG